GAGGAGGTGGGGAGACTGTGACAGGTCTTCTAGAAACTGCTCCTTGCCTCCAGGTAAAGGGAATCTTTTGCATTGTTTTTCTTTGATGCCTAGGTGTCTCTCTCCAGAAAGCCTTGTCAGTTCCCTACAGTTTAGGCAGCTTTTAGTTCCACTAATGAACTGGTGTCTGGCCAGCCCTTCCCATTTCTGAGCTTGAGTTTGAGGCTGCTGGCTGCACTGTTTTCGTCTTGCCTGAAAGTCACTGACAGGCTCTCATCCCTCGGCAGGCTCTTTCCTTCAGGGTCTGATTTTAAAAAGAGAGAGAGAAAGGGAGATACGGACCTGACTGGCCCATCTGGTCTGATCCCTTACTATTTCCTTAATCAGGGGAGGTCAAAGATGGGAATTAGTGTGCGACTGTAGCATGGACTAGCCCTCTTGTAAACAGTAATCTAATTCGTCCATGATAGTAGTATTTCTTTGACAGAAAAGTTCCTCCTTACCTTCAAATAAAATTGTCATTCGCTTCTACGGGTGGTAGGAAATGGAGAGGAAGAAGGGAATTTGGATTCACTGACTTTTACGAACTGGGGACATTTAAAATTCCAGGATACATCTCTTATCTATTGCAGGTGGTTGGCTCCTCGCCTGCTATCATCCTCCCTTCCTTCTTCCTTTCTTTTGGGGGACCACACACAGGGTCAGGGTTAGGGTCAGCATGAGTGCTCTGAAGCCAGGTGACTTTTTCCCTCTGACTCTGCCGCCTGCACTGGGGCCATCTGGAGACCTCTAGCCATTGTCGTAGGTCACTCCCGCAGACCCTGGACATTTACCATAGGCCCGAGACATCCAAATGGATGCAGTTTTCTGAGCTGTCTGGCAAACAGAAGCCCAGATTGTAGCTTATTCTGAGATTGAAGCTTCACCCAGACAACTCATCTGGCCCTGGCTTTAGGATATTTCAACGCGGGGAATTTATTCCATAAAGGACCTTGATAAAGACCAGACTACCATCCTAGGGGAGCATGTAGCTTCTGTCTCATTATATGCATGGCTTTTGCTATATNGACCCTGAATGCTGCAGCGAAGGTGGTGTTGGAGGGGGACTTGGGTTGTGGGAACCCAACAGTGCATCACAGAGAGCTACAGTGCTGAGTCCTAGCTGGTGTTTGACACACTCACGTACACACAAACACACACACACAGTATCTACAGTTGACCCTCTGGGCATGTATGCACACACACACACACACACATACTATCTTTCTTCCTTTAAAAGGCATTCCAGGTGGTAGGGCTCAAACAAGCTGCAAATGAAAATGCCCCATCACTCCGGCTTTGTGCTCTTTCTTTCAGAGCCTTGAATGGAAGATATTTGCTGGTTCATTAGCCCTGAGTCCTCTGACCCCGTCCCCACCCCCGGTCACCGCGTAATTTTACGGGTAAACACGTTTTCAAAATCTGCCTGTGGCTTGGCCTCCTGCTCCTTTTGTTGTCTGGGCCTCGGAATAAAGGGGTGAGGGCGACAGGGAAGAGGTTTTGGATCTGTTTGAATTTGAAGCGGGAAAATGTTTTGAAGAAATGATTATTCCTCTTGGCTCCTGCACTCAGTCTGGGAGCTCTTTCTTCCTGAGGAGCAGAGTCCCAGGGAGGGGTGGGGGTGGTGAAGGGTCCCCTCCCCTCAGAGGTCACTGGCTGGGGGAGGGGGCTCGGATACCCAAGTGACAGGCACCCATCTGCAAAGTCGGAGTCTCCTTGAATGCAGCCTCCTGAGAAAACACCACTCAGCCCGGCCAGGGGGCATCTATTGACTTTTACCATCTGGAGCACATTCTGGAGGTGAAAGCCATTTTTTCTGAAGTCTTGTCAGAACCAGGCTTTGTTCAGACTTTGCTGCTTTAGCAGACTGGTTGCCTGGAGAAGCCCCCATTTACCTGCGTGTGCGTGCTAAGTCGCTTCGGTCATGTCCAACTCTCTGTGACCCCATGGACTGTAGCCCACCAGGCTCCTCTGTCCATGGGATTCTCCAGGCAAGAATACTGGAGTGGGTGGCCATGCCCTCCTTCAGGGGGTCTTCCTGACCCAGGGATTGAACCTGCATCTCTTATGTCTCCTGCATTGGCAAGCAAGTTCTTTACCACTAGCGCCACCTAGGAAGCCCCCATTTACCTGAGGAAGGGGCAAGTCACAGAAAGCCTTGGGCATCTCCTCAGTAACTGGGTAAGGCTTCCTTTGGACTAAGGGGCCCACCCTCCTCCCCACAAACCTTCTCTTTCCTTAAAGGGGAGATGTGGATAGAGAAAAGAAATTTACACGGGATGGTAAAACCGACGAAATCAATGCTAAATCTATCAAAGCAAATCGTAGACCCTGACAGCTGAGAAGTATTATTTGTTTTTCCTCCCTCCCAGATTTCCACCAAGCCTGGTGTTTTAATCATGTGTCTTGGGGAGAAGAGACCCATATAAAGGCAATTACAATTGGTAAATGATTAATGTTGGTCCTGACATTTTTATGTGTCAAATGTGTTTAAGTGCATTAACCTTTACAGAATTTACATCCATACTCTATGAGATATATCTTGTATAGTGTCTCAAATATATGCAATCTGCCTTCACTTAAATCTTATTTACATTTATTTTATTACAATATAAATGGGTTTTAAAAACCTTAAAGAGTTTTTTTTACCCCATTCTGCAGGTCCTGCTGGCGCTATAGGGAGGCTAAGGGCAGTAGGGTTCCTTGCTGACTGCAGATAGAGTTCCAGTCACCTGTCTGGAAAATTCAAGGAGGTGGTGGTGGGGGGGAAGTTGTGTTGGTTGTTTAAGCCCACAACTCTGTTTTAGCCCAAAGGGGAAGTGACTCAGAAGGCCAGGGAGTCCGCATGCAATAGCATGAGTCACAGAGACAGGCAACTTTTAATTTTTGTGAGTTACAGAAAACACGCACGTCCATTTTAGAAGTAACAGGCAGATCCCATCTGCGGTGCTGTCCCCTGTCCGCTGCTGGTCCAGTCCCCTGTGCAGACGGACACACATACAAGGTGTCTGCATCTCTCACGCCTCTCACTGAGCCTTTCCTTTTCCAAGTCAGGCCTGCTCTTGCGGGCGGCTCCGTGGTCAGCTCCATGCCTCCTGAACTTCACTCCACTGAAATCTGGTTGGGTACTAGACAGACTCCGGTGGAATGAAGGACAAGAGAAACACATGGACTATCTGAGGTCTTGATCTCAGAGGGTGGGCCACGTGGCAACCCCGACCTCTGCCCATGGGGCTGTTGCTTGGCTGGAAGCCTTCAGGATCTTTGAATCACAGACTTGGGAGGTGTGGGAGACCCGAGTGCTCACACCTTCCCCAGGATCACTTCCTCCAGGAGCCGAGAAAACCAGCTCACCAAGAACCACCCCCCACCATGCCTGCGGCACCGAGGGTGCTCAGGGGTGGGGATGTTGTGCGGGAGCTGGGGCCCTTGCTGTCGGTCTCCCTCGAAGCAGCCATTCCAGCCAAGTCCCTGTGGAAACGTCTCTGCATCTACCTAGCTGGGATGCTGGTCGGCCTGCCCACATCTGTGTCCCTCTGCGTGGGCCAGAGCCGAGCTTGGTCCTGGCTGCAGAAGGTGGGTGCTCTGAACCTGCTCCAGAAAACCCGTCTACTGTGCTCTCGCTTACCCAGGGGGTGGAGGCAGAGGTGGAAGTGCTCCTTTCCAGAATGCACTGTCCAAAGAGCACGAACAGCCCGTTGCAGGCCCACTTGTGGGTGTGAGACAGGGAGAAGAGCAGCCAGCTGCGGCTTGAAGCCGAGAAAACCAGCTCACCAAGAGCCACCCCCCACCATGCCTGCGGCACCGAGGGTGCTCAGGGGTGGGGATGCTGTGCGGGAGCTGGGGCCCTTGCTGTCGGTCTCCCTCAAAGCAGCCATTCCAGCCAAGTCCCTGTGGAAACGTCTCTGCATCTACCTAGCTGGGATGCTGGTCGGCCTGCCCACGTCTGTGTCCCTCTGCGTGGGCCAGAGCCGAGCTTGGTCCTGGCTGCAGAAGGTGGGTGCTCTGAACCTGCTCCAGAAAACCCGTCTACTGTGCTCTCGCTTACCCAGGGGGTGGAGGCAGAGGTGGAAGTGCTCCTTTCCAGAATGCACTGTCCAAAGAGCACGAACAGCCCGTTGCAGGCCCACTTGTGGGTGTGAGACAGGGAGAAGAGCAGCCAGCTGCGGCTTGACACACTCACGAGGTCTGGGATGGCCGCAGGAGGACGAGCGTCCTTGGTCTTGCTCCTATAGACTCACCTAGGTTGGCCACTTTTGGGTGACCTCACATCTTTTCCCAAACCTGCCTGGAAATGGCACCTCTAACATCTCGGGCATGTGGGGATGAGGGGATGTGGGGACGAAGGCCATCACCTGCTCTCAGGGACTGAACCGAGCCGAGGTGATGGCAGCCCTGGGAGCTCCCCGCCCTCCTGAAGAAATGCCCTGCAGTTCCTGCCCCACCCCTTTCCTCGCTGCGTCCAGACATGCCCCGGGCTCCCTGTAAGCCCGTAAAAGGCTGTTCTCAGCACCGACTTGCAGACTGGGTGAGTTAGGGCAGATCCACCCTGTTGTTTGGAATACTTTCTTCCTGGGGCTTGTTCTGACCCGAAGCAGGGAGGTAGTGACTTAGAATGTGGCTCCCCTCCCCCTCCATCCAAGCCCCTGGGCACCCGGCATCTCAAAGAGGCTCTTCAACCAGGGCCCAGGGTTCCAGGTACTGCTGAGGCAGGGCCATGCTTCCCTTGGTCAGGGGGACTCTGGGGGTGGTCTGGGAGTGCAGATCTGAGTGCTGGGAGGAGGGAGGCAGACCCAGCCTTTCCCAGCCGCCTTCTTTGTTAACACTCAGGGCTCTCAATGATGAGAGAGAAGCGTGCCCCGCTTGTGAGTGATCTAGTTGATAAAGTCCCCCTGCACTGCCTTTGAACCATTTGCTAGTCAAAGGAGAAAAGGGACCGACCTGTCTGGCCCTGCTAAATGATGGCAGATGACAGGAGGAAATGGTTTTGGGATGGAAGGATTCTTTGCTTTCTCTCTGGATTTCAGCACAACTCGGAGAGCACAAGGGATGATTCCTTCCAGACCCTCCTTACCCCACTCTTACCCCTCCTAACACGCATGGTCCACCAGATCTTCAAATCCTTAATCGGAGTGTGCAGAGAGCATCACCCTCACACGGGCCGCTTAACCTCCACGGCGGCTACTCCACCTCCACGGCGGCTACTCCATCGACGACAGAGTCTGTAAAAGCACTTTAACTGTGAAAGGCTGTGCAAATAGACATAGCACTGATATCAGAGAGCCCAGAAAAGGCAGGCCCTTTCCTTATCACCATCTCCTTGCCCTACAGACCTGTAGCTAAAAGACAGAGGGGGGAAAAGACGAGTTGGAACCTGTATCCGGAGCCTTGACCCACTCTGGGTCCCCTCCCTCAGCCAAGATTCTTCTGCCCAGTACAGCTGCACCAACTTGATGTCCCAGTGACCTCTGCCTTGCTCATTTGCAGTGTGGGGACTGCTCAGAGAAGCAAACTGCACATGTATTTGGCTATAGAGCAAGTTTATCCACTGACTGTCTTCCTATGCTGTCTAACTGCCTTCAGGACTGTGCCTTAAATACCTTCTGAATGAAACCAACTTGGACCCAAGAACTGAAGAATCTCCTGTTAGTGCTGTGCCCTCCAGCCCAGGACTGAAAAGCCAGCCAGCCCCCTATTCCTCTAATTGGATAAATATCCATGAAACCAGACAGAACTGCAATCATGGAACTTTACTGATTAGCACCCAACTCAGCACACCTATTCCCATTATCAGGGAGACTTACTGAGATCCCTGGAAATCAGGGATCAAGAAAACCCTGAACTGACTGGGGATTTGGTAGAAATGCGGCAAGTTCAGTCCCTTTAGCCCTGGAGAAAGTTGATGATCAACTTCTAGTGACCGTGGCATTTTCCACAGCTTACTTTCTCCTCTTTTGCCCAGTGCTTCTCCTGATGGAGCCTCTTGGCTTTAGATTTCCAAAGTCCCCCCAAGATGCAGAGAATTCAGACTCACCTGTCCATCTGAGTGTCTGTACCTTCAGGTAGCTGGGCTTCCTTTGAGCTTGATTCAAAATAATGCCTAGATTGTTTTCATAAGATAATTCCAAATAAAGAAATGGCTAGAGACTCCAGGAGTCTTGCCTGGAGAATTCGTGGACAGAGGAGCCTGGATGGTTACAGTTTATGGGTTCACAAAGAGTCGGACATAACTGAGCAAGTAAGGCACAGGCCCAGAGACTCATACGCATGAGAGGAAGGAAAGGAATCCGAGTCTTGCAATGCTCTTTGACTCCTAAGATTTGAGGACAGGGAATAAGAAATGAGAAGCACTTACGTATAAAGCGTCCAGCTGGGCAGGCCCCGTGCAGAGCAGAAATGGGTCCCTGAGGGCAGGTGGGGCCCGGGCCCAAGGAGTCACTCTAAGCATAGGATAGCAGAGGAAAGGGGAGATGGCGTACCAGGGAGCAAAATCAACCGGAAAGGAAAATTTGGAGTTATGGTGGGGTTCAGTTGAACTTTCAGCACAGACAATACAAAAGAGAGGAGCTGGTTTTCCTAAGGCGAGGGTGAAGAAGTAGGACTCGGCCCCTTTCAAGGAGGTGGTGCTATAGTCCCTCACTTTATTTATGCACCGCTTGGCCGAGCTTCGTGTTACCTGTGGAGCCTGCCCAATGGGGAGAGGCCTGGGCTGCCGGCTCCTCCTCTCGGCACCCACACCCTCAGAGGCCGGGACTGGCACGCCTTTCTGCACCTACCCTGGCTGTCTTATTGTTCTGTAAACACCGGAAGGGAGGGGAGGTCTCTGGGTTGCAGAGAATGGTGAGGTGAGCGCTGTTTGTGAAGGCCCTGGGCTCCCAGAGACCTGGGCAAGGAAGGAAGAAAGGGAAGCTCAGATCTTATTTTGGCTAGGAGAGACTGTGTGTGTTTGTGTGTGTGTGCGCGCGCGCTCATGCACACTCCAGGACAAACACAGGCTGTGGGACCGGTTGGCCTCTGGAACTTTTAGAGCTCTTAGCTGCGCCCTGAGTGCTAGCTCTAAGCAGGGCACTTCAGGAATCAAGCAGAGGTCCTCAGCCCATCCAGGGACCCTTGGGTCTGAGGAGAGTCCCACCCCGTGTGTTCTCCGGGCATTTGGTACGGAGTGAGTTTGCTCTGCTCCTTGAGAGGAGTAAGTGACTTTATAATCCAAGAGGCTTTGCAGCCTGTTTCTCTTTCATTTCAGAGGGTGGGGAGGAGACAGCCTTGTGTCCGGGGAAGTTGGGAAGAGGAGCTGCAGGAAGGGCCAGCCAGCTCGTTAGGAAACATGAAGGCGGCTGGTCTATCAACTCCTGATTGTTTTAAGTTCCCCTCCTCCCCTCCCTGTTCCTGCTCCCCTCTCCCCTCTTCTCCCCCTTGCCACACCAGGAAGGTTAGGAGAGTTGAAGTCTCCTCAGAGGTGGTAATAGAGAAGGCAATGGCAGCCTACTCCAGTGTTCTTGCCTGGAGAACCCCAGGGACGGCCGAGCCTGGTGGGCTGCCGTCTATGGGGTCACACAGAGTCGGACACGACTGAAGCGACTTAGCAGCAGCGGCAGCAGACGTGGTGTATTTTGCAGAGCCTCCTGGCCTGACTTCTGCTTGTTCACAGGGCAGGTCTCCCGGTACAGAGGGGAAGGAGGGGAAATAAAGAGCCCGACTGATAGGATACTGCAGGGCTGCACTGCCTCACAGCCCTTCTTAGAACCCTAATTCTTTCAGCTCAGAATCTCTTTAGACAATCAGTCAATTCAAGCCTCTTACCAAACAGACAGGGAAACAGGCTCTAAGGGGAGAATTTCTGTCTCACGTGTAGGGTTAAGATTCAAATCTACTCAGATCCCCCAGCCTCCATTAAAGGACTCTTCAGAACAGACACTCCGTGATCGTCTTCCCCATTTCTGGAGGGTCTTGCATTTGTCTGGAGCATTCCACACTCTTTCTGGAAGAAGAGAAGGCTCCACTGGGATAGGGGTGTGTGTAGATGTTCCAGGTGAGGGTTTTCTTACGCCTCACCTTGACGATCCTCGGCGATCAGGGCCCCTGAACTCCCTGGCACCTGGGCCCTGTTCGCCTTATCACAGCCTCAGCTCTCCCTTCTCCCCACTAGTGATGTAGAGAGAGAGGCAGGGATGACTAAGATGACACACCCTTGTGCCCTGTCCACCCTCCCTCCCTGTATTTCATTCATTCACTCACTCACTCATTCATTCATTCACTCTCCCCCTCCCTGCCTCCCTCCAGACAGCGTGGATTCTGTGCCAGCTGAGTGAGGAACTGTGCTTACCCTTGAGAAACCCTCAACTTAGCGACACACGTAAATGGACAGACAGGAAAAAAAAAACAACAACAACAGGCTGAGAAAAACACTATGAATGACCTCCAAAAGGAAACTGCCAACTTTTGTCTGTGAGATTCAGAGAAGGTCCCAGAGAGAAGGTGCCATCTGAGTTGACTCTGAAAAGATGAGGTGGAGACAGGGGCTTGGTAAGGACCTGGCTTGAATGGAAGTGACGAGGAAGGAGCCGTCCCCCTGTGGTTAAGAAGCTCGCCCTGGTTCTGGGTAGGACTAGAGGCAGGTGGCTGGCTGCTGGTCCCCAGATGTGGGGTGCTGGGAAGGGAAGGATGAGTATGGAGAGCAGAAAATATGCACAAATCCTGCCCGTCAGATTCTTTCCCTCACAGTGGCATTTTTGACCTCTAAATTTGTTCAGAAAAATGGAAACAAATGATAATCTAGCTGACAAGGCCAGAAAAGTCCCACCTGCCCTTTATTAGTGGGGCTTCCCTCATAGCTAAGTTGGTAAAGAATCTGCCTACGATGCAGGAGACCCCAGTTCGATTCCTGGGTTGGGAAGATCCGCTGGAGAAGGGATAGGCTCCCCACTCCAGTATTCTTGGGCTTCCCTTGTGGCTCAGCTGGTAAAGAATCTGGCTGCAACGTGGGAGACCTGGGTTCGATCCCTGGGTTGGGAAGATCCCTGGAGAAGGGAAAGACTACCCACTCCAGTATTCTGGCCTGGAGAATTCCATGGACAGTCCATGGGGTCACAAAGAGTCGGACACGACTGAGCGANCTTCTTGAGAAGTTTCTCAGGGCCTAAAGTCCAGAGGAAAACATGCTAACTCACCTGCTTCTGCTTGGTTCTACACTTTGGCTCAGAAAGTAACTGCATGAATGTAGGGTGGAGAAGATATGACTTAGCAGCAACGTACACAGAAAACAAACTTAGGATTTGAGTTTATGGTAAGCTGGGGCTTCCCTGGTGGCTCAGATGGTAAAGAATCTGCCTGCAACACAGGAGACAGGGTTCGATCCCTGGGTCCGGAAGATCCCCTGGAGAGGGGAATGCCAACTCACTCCAGTATTCTTGCCTGAAAAATCCCTTGGACAGAGGAGCCTAGTGGGCTGCAGTCCATTGGATTGCAAAGAGTCGGACACAACTGAGCGACTAACACTTTCACTTTGTGGGACTCAACGTTGTGATGTGGCTGCCTAAAGAGCAAGCTCTATCTTTGGTTGTATTATTAGAAATATGAGATGGAAAATGAGGGAGGTGATATTTCTACTCTGCTCAGTAGTGCTTAGATTATACTTGGTTTATTAGGTTTGATTATGGTTTCACATATTAAGAGGAGTCAATACAAGTCTGAAAGTGAAAAAAAAGTGATCAGAGTGGTGAGTGGACTTGAAAATAGGTCACTTCACTCTGAGAAAGGATTAAGAGACAGAGGCTATTTAGTCCGGGGATGTGATGACTGGGGAGTGGAGGGAAGGGTATGACTGCTGTTTTTAAATACCTGAAGATAACGCCACGTAAAAGGGGTTTATGTTTGTTCTTAGTGGTCTCATGGGGTAGAATGAGCAGTAAATTTTTCTATCACAGTACTTTGTTAGACCACAAAGGGCACAGGCAGGCAGCAAAGGAAACCTGATGGTTCTGGAGTCAGTGTAGCCCCCCTGAAAGAGGGTGAAGTCTCACCCCAAAGTGGAAGGACGAGGCATGCTTTCTGCATACACCACTAGGAGGTACAGAACACCTGTCTGAACAGGTGAAGCCAAAGGGCTAAACCCAAGTCCGTAAATCACGTTGAGGCCTCTTTCTGCCATCGTGAATACCTTTCCCTCCCACGTCATTGTGTCTCCGTAGTTGACTCGCCTGGTGCCAATGTTGTGTCCCCAGAAGTGTGGTTTGGGGCTGCTGTTCACTAGTCAGCCCTTTGAATGTTGGCTGTTTCCTGAGGCCACATCCCCACTCCACACACACGATCCTGTGACCTGGTGCACGCCTCTATAACACGTCACCTTATGGGTATTGATTTCTTGCCTTTCTCTCTCTCTAGATCATGAACCTCTTAAAAGAAAGGAAAGCCAGCGCAAAGAAGTTCCTGGCTCGTGGTAAGTGCTCAGTAAACATTTGCTGACTGGGTGAAAGTAGGGGCGAGCTCTGAAGGGGAGACTTGGGGTCCGGAGCTAACACCCCTCCCCCGCCCGCCCGGCCCCATTTCACTCCAGTATGGGTCAGAACTGTATTGGATTTCACTCCAGTATGGTCCCAGTTTCAGCACCAGCTGCTTTCCTGCTCTAGGGGATCTGACAGCTTGCTGCCTACTCTTCTGTTTCTGGGCTGGAAGGCCTTCATTCCGGAGGTGGGTGTGTTCTCCAGAAATTGAAAAGGGGGTGAAGCCTGTCCTTTTGTGGGTCTCCATTCCCGGACCCTCCCTCCCAAGGCCTAATCTAGTCCTTCAGGTGAGAGACTCGACTTCGAGGCCTGCCCCTCCTGGACAGAAGAGAGGGCCCGGGGGGCCTTACAGCACGCGAGAGCCGAGTCACTTGTCTCCCTGGAGGCTCAGATGGTGAAGAATCTGCCTGCAATGCAGGAGACCTGGGTTCGATCCCTGGGGTGGGAAGATCCCCTGGAGGAGGGCATGGCAGCCCACTCCAGTGTTCTTGCCTGGAGAATCCCAGGGACGGAGGAGCCTGGCGGGCTACAGTCCAGGGGGTCACAGAGAGGGGACATGATCAAGTGGCTAAGCACAGCACAGCAACCACTCTGGACGTTTCCTGCAGTTATCTGCTCCCCTAAACATCTCTCCAACTTTCCTGGAGGTTTTGTGGGTTGGTGGAAATTCATTTCCCTGGAGAATGCTTGTTAGAGATTTTATTTTTCTCTGTCAACATCTGAATACTACTTTAAGAAAGCAGAGGGGTGGGGGAGCATTCTTAATAGAATAGGCTTTGATAAGCTAAAGTGGTTCAGGTTATTCAACACCAAGCGTGGGTTTTCAACACCAATGCTCAGTCATGTCTGACTCTGTGCGACCCCATGAACTGTAGCCCTCCAGGCTTTTCCGTCCATGGAATTCTCCAGACAAGAGTACTGGAGTGGGTTGTCATTTCCTTCTCCAGGGGATCTTCCCCACCCAGGGATTGAACCTGAGTCCCTTGCATCTCCTTGCGTCTCCTGTGCCACCTGAGAAGCCCCTTTGACACCAAGAGGGGGATCCAAAAACACTGAGCTGGAGAGAGCTTGCGTCTTCCTCTGTCCTTGACTCCTGACCCTC